CAGGCGGGGAACGTTGGCTTCCTCCTTCAATGAAGGAAGCAAGCCTCATGTTCGCTTTAAGCTGCCTGACTGCCAGCCGCCATCTTGGCTGACAGTTAATTTGCATATCTCCCTGATTAGCCAATGGGAAGGGTAGCGGTCGTACGCCAATTACCATGTTTCTCTTTTATTAGTGTCGATGTGCTCTAAGAGGGACAAAAACACTCTACCATCCCTCAGCCTCTTTTCCATTTTAGTATCTCTTTCTATTTTCCTTATTCTGTCTTTTCAAAGCTGGGTTTGGAAAAAGAGGAGGAAGACAAGGCTTTATGAAGCCTTTTATGTGGCCCCTACAGAACTGATGACCTAAAGCTTTAGGAAGTAAACCAAGATGTTTTAAAAAAATCACTATACTCTATTACGGATTAAGATTTAATTGTTTTAAAATAAATGTCCATGCTTATGTTTATTTTATTATTCAAGGAGCTTTTCCTTATCCATTTCTTTTTTCCTTTAACATACATAGGTTTTTTTTTAAAATTTATCGATTTGTTCAGAAGGAGGGACTTACCAATGAACACATTCACCAGAGTTATGCCAATTACTACTGGAATCCCAGTCAAACAAATGTAGAATTTCTGTCAAGATTAATAAAAACAAATTTTCAATAACCATTTCCTAACTCTCTTTCCCACCCTTAAGTTGTCCTTATTACATGATTTCCTTATATTACTTATAAAATAAACTTGCCAAATTGGAGATGCAGTATCAAATGATTTATTTCTGTGATTTTCTTTTGCTCTAGTTTTTAGATGCCTAAATTTAACACCAAAAATGAAAGAAAAAAGGGATTAATTGTACAAGTATTATATAATACATATTTGAGTGATTTTTCATTTTTTGATTAAAACAATGTAATGAAAGTTAGGAGTTTTTGTATTAAGAAGAAAAATACATATAGATTTGTACACCCGAAACCTATATAATTTTATTAACCAATGTCACCCCAATCAACTCAATAAAAAAGAAAAGTGTAAAAACATCAGGTTGATTCCAGCCACTGTATAAAATCTGAGTTGGCCACGACAAGAACAGTGGGAGCTCAACCAAGGGGTTGGAGAGGGCACTGAGCACAATGACAGAGCAAGAGAAGGTCTAGGGGGCAGCCCATGCTCAAATGGTGGGTCACAGCTTTAGGAACAATGACAAAGAGCCCAGACAGTCTTCCATCTTCTACGGCCTACTTTCCATTATAGAACCTTGCATTAATAATGTACAATCAGTACCCTGCTGCACTCTCTAAATCAATGCTCCTAAGCAATATAGAAATAAAATCATATCTCATAATAATGGAGGGCCTTATTTGAAGAAATACTTCAATTAGTTCTTTGGTAATTTAAAGAATATTTTAATAATATAAATAATTATCCCCAAATAAATCTGTTTTCAAAATTCTGTAATTTACTAATATAGATTTTTATTTTTTGTCAGGGAACACAGATTTCAAAACCCCATAATCCTGAGAAGAAAGGAATAGCTCAATTTTTAACCTCCAATAAGCATAAACCCTTTTTTGAAGAAAAAGTGGTTACTAAAAAAGAAATTTAGTAACAAATCAGACCTTACTACCCATTTCCTTATCTTTTGAGAAAAGACATATGAATTTACAAAATGAAAGATGTTTTCTAAATAGGCCAAAATGGTCTTCCTATTTATATGAAAATAGTTCAACAAAAACTTTAACTCACCAGTAAATTCAAAAAACGCTTGTCATAGAATCCAGAAGGTTTGATAACAAACAGTCTTTTCCCATGGTCTCCACTGTGTCTCACAGGAGCTAGAAATATTAAATTACCCTGTTTTATACAAGTTTCATATCGGTATACTGTTATTTTCTGAGATAAAGTCAGATTATAAGAAAATATATATGCATACATTTTTAATTAAGATTTTAAAATGCATGTTCTTTAAGTATTAAAGGCGGGGCAGGTAGGGTTTCCTTAAACAGAGATTGGTGTTCTGTTCTAAACTATAGCTTTCCTCATTTTTATTCAATGTTAAAAAAATACCTAAACATTTGTTTGAATGTTTCAATAGCAGGCAGGAAAGGCAGATACTCTTGGCGGGCTACTTTGTTTACCCTCTGCAACAAATTTTGCTAATGCTGCAAAAGAAATAAATTTAAGTTATGCCATTCCATATGAGGCAGTAAACACTTGCTACAAAATAGATGGAAAGATATTTATTCAACATATATCCAGCAGGAATTTGAACTTGTTACGAAAGTAAACACTCTACATATCTTGATAAAATCCCTTTGTAAGCCATTTCTCATTCCCAATATCCTCCTCTTCAAATACTCCCCAGATGATGGTATTTAATCAAACTTTGCTGGAGATAAAGCGAGGCAAAATTTAACTCCTGGATCTTCTTTCTACACCATTTCCTCCCTTGGAAGCCTGGAAAGATCACATGGGCATCCAAGCCCCTTCTTCTGGAAGCAGGAAAGGCTGTTTCGGCTGTGTAACTACATTCTGTATCCTTTGTCCAAGCTTCAGTGTCTGGAATGCGCTCCCCTCTACTGGAATCTGTTCTTTGGGCCCAGGTGACATCTTATCCTCCAAGAAACCAACATTCTTCCAACCAGATGAGAACTCTCACCTTTGAATTGCTGTGTATTCTAGGGAGGCGCCTAATTCCCTTTATTCTCCCAATAAAACATAAATGTCAAAGAACTTTCAATGTGTGAAAGAGCAACTCTTCTCTTAATTTTGGTATCACCTGCAGCAGCTTGAGATGAATTTAGGTTAATTCACAAAAGAACTAGAAGCTGGTATGAATTTACTAAGTACAATTCATACTACTAAGGCTGTGACAATAACAAGAGAATTTGACAAAGTATGTATTTCAGCGAATCACTTGAAAGTTACAGAATTTTTTTGTGAGCTATATGGAAAAAAATGGGCTGGATAATAGTATAAGTGCCTACTATGTGCAGGTCCTTTGCTAGGCCTATTGTCTAAGAGGGATACAGACAGACCCTACTGGAAGCAAGACACTAACAGATTAACATAATTACAAATCTATAGGGACAACAAAGGAAAGAAACAGGATGTATTGTCAGAAAAGAACAGGCCCAGAAGTAAAGTTCATATTTAGACAGGATGGTCTGTGTGTTGGTGAAGGGGTTGGGGGGAACAAGGAGGTACAAGGAAAGGCACATTATAAACTGAGAGAAATATCAAGTTAAATGAAGTTGAAATTGGCAATTGATTGATTGATTACACCCAAACGGTAGTGATTACTTAATGCAGTAACCTGCCAAAGAGTTGTCTCCATAGCCCTGGAGGGTCAAGATTTCTTTGAAAAAAAAAAAAAAAAGATTTCTTTTAATGGCCTGCATGATGGTATTCCTGACAAGACACAAAGCTACTGCCACAAGAGTGGTTACTACACTGATGATGAAATAGGATCCCCCAAAAGTCTTCATACACATTTACAAAAGGCTGAATCTAAAATGATTAAATGTAAGTGGAAAGTCCTGCCTGGACCCCGACCTCCAAAGTTTAGTGGCTCACAAACTTAGAATACCAGTAAGAGTCATTGGTATAATGTGGTTACCAAAAAAAGCCAAGGTAATTTTATCTTAATATGTATTAAAAGTTCAAGGTCAAAGTGGAAGAAATCCCCGCCCTCTCATCTCCAGGTGTCCCCAGTTTTAGAGCGACAACCTGGAGCCTGCTCCACTTATGCAACCAGAATTAAAAACAACCTGGAAACTGACATTCTGAAACTGAAAGAACTAAAGCTGATTGGTCTACAAAAAAGAAGTCTGGTTAGAAACCAGATGAGCTTTTAAGGAACTGAAGGGCTATCCCATGACAAAGGGCATACACTCTTCTGGGTTGACTTGAAGCAAAGAACTTTCAATGTGTGAAAGAGTAATTTAGAGCTTAATACAAAGAAGAAGTTTCTAACAATTTCAGTGGTTGAAAATAAAATTGGACCGCCCAGCCAGTGTGGCTCAGTGGTTGAGCATCGACCCATGAACCAAGAGGTCACCAGTTCGATTCTCAGTCAGGGCACAAGCCCGGGTTTCAGGTTCGATCCCCAGTAGCAGGCGTGCAGGAGGCAGTCAATCGATCCATGTTTCTCTCTCACCAATGTTTCTATCTCTCTATCCTTCTTCCTTACTCTCTCTAAAAGCAACAAAAACATATTTAAAAAATTTAGCCCAACTCCCCAACTCTCCATTAAGTAGTTATTCAAGTATCAGTAATGGGGATTAGTATACTACGGAAGGGGGCGCGCAGCGTTGGTCTGGATTTTTAAGGTCTTTTTCCTTAAAGAATCTGAATATATGGCCTCTCTTATAAAAAGGCATACCTTACCAACTCATCAATTTCAATAGTTTCCTTCCATGTCCAAGAACTCACTCTTTTTTTAAAAAAGAAAAATCTGTTTTTATTGATTTTAGAGAGAAAGGGAGAGGAAGAGAGCAACATCAATTGGCTGCCTCCTACACACACCTACAGGGATCGTGCCCCGGCCAGGAATTGAACTGGAGCCCTTTTGGTGCCATGAAAACAGGCATCTTCCACCACTTTATAAAGCCTGGAATTCCTCAAGTATTCATTAATTATGTGCAAGTAGGTGTCAATAACAATTTCTTAAAATGCACATAACCTCGGGAAAGTTATGTTTTAACAACTGTAGTCTTTGTGTGGATCAAATAAGATAACTGTATAATTTTATGTGTGTTTCCAAGAAATTGAAAATCGGTCATTTTTCCCCCCTCATTCTCAGACTATTCCCAGTTAATGTCACTTTACATCAATGGTTTAAGGAATTGAACACCCCCTAGAAGCCATCCAATATTCAGAAGCATTTTCCCAAAACACACTAATGATATTGCTCTTTTGCTAAAACACTCTCTACTGCCTAGAAAACAGATAATATAATTTAGTCATCCCCTCCCCTCCCAATTAGGTCCCAACTCCCCCTTTTTAAAAACATTTATATTTTTTTATTTTTATTTTTTCAGTTACTGTCTACAATGTAGATTCTACATTCAATACCATTCCGCGTGAGTTTCAGATGTACAGCACAGTGGCCAGAAAATCATGTACTTTCCCTGTCAAGTCAACAGAACATGCACACTTGTAATAAACGTCCTCATTTTTAGAGGTGAATCAATACAAGTTCCAAGCGATTCAGTGCCTTCTGGTTAGCTTCCAAGACGTGAATGCCCAAGGTCACACACACACACAGCTACTGAGCCGTGGAGCCAGGGCTGGAACCGGGGAACCTAGCTCCAGAGGAAACAAAACGAGGCTCTCCACTCTGCTGGAGCTCACACTCCCCAGGGGGCAGACATACACAATAATACAGATCAAAACCTTTCATTGCACGGGGACAGGTAAGGCTTCACGTGCAAAATACCTCTGAGAGCAGGCACGGCTGGAACACAGCACCCTCTGCACTGCTATCCGATCCTCCCCGGCTCCCGGTGCAAAGCGCTCAGATGACCTGCCGCGATCCCCCCAGACCTCCGCGAACGGGGCGCAGCGTGTAAGCGGGGAGGAGGGGGTTCACCCCGTTTACCTCCAGCGAGACGTGATGAGGATTTAAAGAGGAGGACATGTGCCATCAGAAACGGCTTACAGAGGGATGTTGTCCAGGAATGTTGTTAGCCAAGTAGTTTGTTGGCTACTCCCCATCCTTTCCAGCAAGTCCCCACGCATAATGCCTTGTCGGGAGCCTCTGCGCCTGTCCACGCATCGCTTAGCATCACCGGGCACCTCCGCAACGCGACTGCCAGTGTTGCGGGACCAGAGCCTCGTTCAGGGGGAAAGTACGAAAAGCCGGTGCCGAGAGGCCCGGGTCTCAGCTCAGCTCCGGGCCTTTCCGACCTCAGCGTCATCGTAAGTTAGCCCACCTGGGAAGGCTGAAGGGCCAAGTGTTCACAAACGCTAACGGACAGTTTAAAACCCTCAAGCCCAGCCCGCAATTTCTCGGCTCCCGCCGGGTCCCACCAAGGTCACCCCGGCAGCGTCCTCGCTCCCCCCGCTCCCCCTGAGAGCGCTCTCCCCCACAGCCGGCACCCACCGACAGCCTTCGGGAAGCCGCGCGTGAGGAAGCCCCCGGGTCCGAGCCGCGTGCCCAGGCGGCGGCCAGCCAGCGCCGCCAGCGCGGTGACCGAAGCCCGCTGCAGCAAGCTCATGGCCGCCATGGCTACTCCGGGCAAGAGGTCGAGCGGGGGAGGGCAACGGGAGCCGAGAGAGCCAATTCACCAGCCGGGGCCAAGGCGGAAGGCGGCCATGTCGAGTGAGGGCAAAAGCTGTTCCTGTGCTCTGCTTCCGGTCGGAGTGACGCACCGGAAGTGACGCATCTGTGGACGAGAACGCGGTTTGCTGACGCGAGAAAAAAAATGGCTGCTGCCAGGTTAGCCGTTCTTTGCAGGAAAGTGTCAGCCGCCCTGCAGACTTCCCGGTCGTTCATGAGCCCTCAGGTCCCCGCTGGCACAGGGTAAGTGATGTGAGGAGGAGGTGTGGCCCTCTCCACTTGGGATCTTGTCTGGTTGCTGAGATGCTGAGAGCAGCTCAGGGATGGAAAGGTCGCAGGATGGGCTTGAGCCCGAAGCCAACTTGGGGAGGAATGAGTGACTTGGTACCAGGCGCCCACAAGGCGTTTCCCTTCCTGCCTCATTTTGTTGCCACCTGCTGTGAACCGGGCTGTCCGTGGGGTCTGCAGATGCCCGGTACTTGCTGGTTAAAGGTAGAGGCATAGAAGGAGCCCGTTGGGCGGTGGGAGTTGGGGAAAGCTTCACTGGAGAGCTTTTGGCTTTGGGACTGAAAGCTGTGTCGAGCTTGGATGGGTAAAGAAGAAGGGGCCTTGTTATTCCTGCGATAGGTCACAAAGCGATTGTTCAGTCAAGCTGAGCGACTAAATGAAAGTAGCCACGTAAATGAAAAGCTGCCCTTGCAGGTGGGAGACAGGAACATCCTACACGCGGTGTTCATTATTTCTGCAAAGTCAGGTTGTCTTCTGGTCAGACCCGTCGTTTTTGACTTTAGGGTATATGTTTCCTCCCCCTTATTGGTTTTTGTCTGTAATGATTTGAATTTTATAAATAGTTGGGTATATCCGATTTTTTTTTCCTAAAAGGAAGTAATGTATGTGCTCTTGAGTCCAGCATTTATTATATTACAGTGTTCCTACATATTACATGTAACTTTAGAGATAAGCAATATTGTTTTCATTTTGCAGAGGCTCAGAGGTTGTAACTTGAATCCATTGTCTCTTCCATCTAGTTATCCTTTTTCCTTAAAAATTAATTTTAGATTTTTTTATTAGAATAAATTATGTTCATTTGCAGACACTTTGGAAATAGGGTCAAATATTTTGAAGAAGAAAACAAAAATCAACTCTAATTCTACCACTCAGAGATAAACAGATTTCCTGCCCTTTTTAACTTTGCATATGTACACATACATGTAATCTGTATATATAAAAGCCTAATATGCAAAGTTTCCACTCAGGAGTTTGACCGACTGGGAGCTCAATCGCTCACTATGTGTGCTGACCACCAGGTGGCGGCAGGGAACAAGGAAAGGCCCTGGCCGGCAGCCGGCAGCTGGGGAAGGGAGGCCCCAGCCAGCAACCACTAGGGACCCTACCCATTCACAAATTTCATGCACTGGGCCTCTAGTTTTGAAATAAAACCAGGACTATATTTACATATATGCATTCTTGTGCTCTACCCTTGTTTCCCCACCTTTTTATTTTTAAGAATTTCAAAACAACAGAAAAGTACCAAGAGTAACCATATATTCTTAATCAACCCTTAGCATTTTTATTTAAATATATTTTTATTGATTTCAGAGAGGAAGGAAGAAGGAGAGAGAGACAAACTTCAATGATGAGAGAGAATCATTGATCGGCTGCCTTCTGCAAGCCCCCCACTGGAAATCGAGCCCACAACCTGGGCATGTGCCCTTGACTGGAATCAAATCTGGGACCTTTCAGTTCGCAGGCCGATGCTCCATCCACTTAGCCAAACCAGCTAGGGCAAGCTTTAGCATTTTATTACATTTTTCTTTATCTCTTTATATCCAGGCCTTTTTCCCCCCTGAACTATTTGAGGCATGTCCAAATTGCAAGCATCATGACACTTCAGCATATATCTCATAAGAACAAGAACAATGTTTTTGTTCTTGTTTTTAATTCTCACTCGAGGATATTTTTCCATTGATTAGCATAGAGAGTGGAAGAGAGAGGGAAAGACAGAAATATTGATGTGAGAGAAACACATCGATTGATTACTTCCTGCACACACCCTGACCAGGGCCCAAGCTGGGGAGGAACCTGCAACCCAAGTACATGCCCTTGACCAGAATCAAACCCTGGATCCTTCGGTCTGCAGGCCGACACTCTATCCACTGAGTCAGTACTCCACCCACTGAAGAATTTAATACTGATACATACTATTATTCTGCTACTATTATAGCCCAAATTCAAATGTCCTCAGTTGTCCTGATAATTTTTTTTTCTTATTTTTTTATTCAGAGTCCAAACAACATTCATTTTTTTGCATTAGTTGTCATATCTCTTTAATCTTTTAAAATCCAGAATAGTTCCTTTTTTTATTTCATGACATTGACATCTTTTTTATAAGATCAATCTTTTTAGAATATCTCTCTATTTGGGTCTGTCTGATTGTTTCCTCATGGTTAGATTCAGGTTAATTTTTTTTTGGTAGGAATGCAATACTTGTGACATGCTTCACTACTGTATTTTAAATTATTTACCAGGTTATTAAATATTCTTTAAAAACATGATTTTTTAAATTACCGCAAAATAGACTGTCATATGGACACATAATTTTTAAACCACTCATGGTTTCACATTTATAATATCAACTTTTTAATATCATATATAATGCTTTAATAGATATTTACATTTATCAGTTTCCATCTATGATATTTCTTTAGTTGAAATTTCTAGATGTGGACTTAATGAGTTAGGGAAGAAACATTGTGGCCTCTAATACATGTTGCAAAATTAACCTTCAGAATAATTTTAATCTACTCATATGCCCACTAGTAGTTTAGGAAGGACCTACATATGTTACCTTAAAATATAAATGTAAATATACTGCCTCTGAAATTATAGGGTAGCAATTGTTTATGTATGTTCAATTGCAGGTTTTCTCTTATTCTGTCGCCTAAGAATATACCAAGTGTCACATCTTTACACCAGTGTAGAATACTTCATACCACATTATCAAGGAAAGGACTGGAAGAATTTTTTGATGACCCAAAGAATTGGGGAGAAGAAAAAGTGAAATCTGGTGAGGTATTTGGGTTGATTGGTATTAAATATATTTTTTTGAACTATCCATCATGTTGGGATTATTTATCCAGTTTAGGAATTACTTGGGGTTTTTCTTTTTTAAATTTCCTTTGGGAATGTCTATTAGTGAAAATTAAAAGGACAATATGATAGAGTTAATTGTTCCTTGGCAGCTTGGCAAAAGGTTTAGAAGAGGAGTAGGCTTAAATTTTTTCAGTAAATTGATGTTTGGCTTTGTTTTAGATTTTATTTTTTAAAAATAGTTTTTTTTACTTTATTAATTTCTAGAGAGAGAAAGAAGGAAGGAAAGAGATAGAGACAGACAGACAGACAGACATAGATTTGTTGCTCCACTTGTTTATGCATTCAGTGGTTGATTCTTACTATATATGTGCACTGATCTGATCAGGGATTGAACCTGCAACCGCGGTGTATTGGGATGACACTTTAACCAAGTGAGCTACCTGATCAGGGCTTAAATTTTATTTTTTAAAGATAATTGAAAATTAATTTATAATGATGTATTTTTACCTTAAACTGTGAAAATACATTCTATAGCCATACTAACATTTTTGAATGCTGTTGCCAGTCTCATTACTCATATTTTCCTGTATTAGCTAATTTAACCCCAATTTAATTCTAGTTGCATTTTATACTGTAATATAATAAAGCTATAATATATTTTACAGATAAGGAAACTGGTTTGAAAGGTTAAGTAATTTGCCAAAGGACACATAGCTAGAAAATTATTTCATGTTATGAATTTATCATTTTAATAGGAGCTGCATGGACCTGTCAGCAGTTAAGGAACAAAAGTAATGAAGACTTACATAAACTTTGGTAAGTATACTGAGTACATGAACATCTAGATCAAGCATGTCAAACTCAAAGACTAACTAACAGGAAAAATAAACAAGGTTTAAGTTTATGTGGGCCACAAAAAAACAAAAGCTTCAATTTTCATAGAAACATAGGTTTATTTCGATAGACACATGCTGAATACAAAGGGCTGAAATAAATGAGTAATAGTTAACATAACATAATAGAACATTTTAACCTATTTTTCTTGTTCTCCGAAAGCAAAATATTTCCTGTTGCACACACCAAACAAGTCAGTACAAGACTAATGAGGTGCTAAAATATTCGCTGCTAGTATTAGTGGAGAGAGATGGTGCACCTGCGCGGAAGGTGTCGAAGGTGCGTAAGGGAAATGAATGCAACAGGATTATAGTAATCAGTCATTAGCGAACGTTGTAGTTCATTACTAATAATTATGTATAACAGGATATTGTAAAAATTAAGTTACGAAATTTTTATTAAAACGTTTCTTACATACCATTATATTGGCTGGGCCACAAAAATATTCGCCTACAGGCTGCGAGTTTGACATGCTTGGTCTAGGTGTTTGAAGCAATTTAGTATAATGAGGAGGTATAAACTTTATGTGCCGTAAGAAATTGAGCGTTTGTCTCACAGTACTGTGGATGGTACATAAGATCATTATAGATTTCATAAATATGACAGGTTAAGTTATATTAAGACAAATGTACCAGAGTTCTCAAGTAGTTGGGAGGTTAGAAATTTTATTGCTACTAGTCATACTACACCTTTGTATTAACAATTCCAGTAAGCTAATAAAATGAAATGGAGAAGAGTTGGTCACATTTAGGCCTTCTTCCTCTTTATTACCTTTTGCATGATCTGAAATCTTTAGCTTATTTGCTTTGGAAAACTGTTGGAGGGTGCATTTAATTGGGAATTTATGTAGATTTTTGGGCAGTTTCTCCTGATGAATTAGAGTTGAGAGGATTTAAGACAGGGTTGTATTTTTAATGCAATCATTCAGTATTTGTATATATTGCAAAATGATCATTGCAGTAAGCCCAGGTAACATCCATCACCACACATAGTACAAGTCTTTTTTCCTGAGATGAGAACTTTTGTGATCCACTCTGCTAGCTACTTTCAAATATGC